AGTGACATACAGCAAGTAACTGACTGAGTGAGCATTACATAAGGCAATCTACTCCAGCGACCTTTCTCTTACCCAATCACACACACTGCCTTGCTCATCCCCAGGATGACAGAGCCACAAAAGTTTCAACTGTCTAAAAGATAAATATGCAGCAGAAACATTCTATAAATATTTAGACTAATTACAACATGCCAATTGGTACACAGTCAAAGGAAGATTAAACTGAAATTATCAAATAAGAGCTACAAAGAAACTATACAAAAGTGCATTCCAGACAAGATCATTTATAAACCATTCCAAATGATTCCTGAGAAGACATTTTCCCCTGACCATCAACCCTTGTATAACCTAGTTCCTTTCCCTTCCTACTCACTCTTAATCTCAGAGCCTTCAAGACATTTGTTGACTGGTAGTTTTAGAAAGTGTTTTACATTGTTGCATTGTCTGCTAGATGAATGTCCAATATTTGTTTTTATCATTCTACTTGTTTTGCTGCATAGCATTTTCTCCAAAATCCCTCTACTATGTTGAAATAGACGATTTTCATCCCTGCCTGTGACTAAGTCTTATGCCATGGTGTGCATATGTATCATATCTTTTTGATATAGTGATCCATTCACCCCTTTATGGAGATTCAGGCTGCTTCCATGTTTTATCTATAATAATGTTGCTGGAAAAAAACTGTAAAATATATGGATGTTTTTGTTGATTGTGTCATATTCTATGGATATATGCCCAAGAGTAGGACTGCCAGGTTGTATGGTATTTCTATTTTTAATTTCTTAAGGCAAATCCAGATTGCTTTCCAGAATGGATTCACCAGTTCACATACCCATCAAAAATGTAACAGGGTTCCTTTTTCTCCACAACCTCTTCAACATTTGTTGTGGGGTATTTTTTGGTATGTGCCTTTATCACAGGTGTGAGATGGTATCTCATAGTTTTAATCTTCATCTCTCTTCTTATGTATGATGATGACATACTTTCACATGTCTTTTAGCTTTCTGGCTGTACTCTTTAGTGAACTGTCAATATCTGCTGCTCATTTGCTAATTGATTTCTTTAGATTTGTTTGTTGAATTGTGAATAGACTGAGAGTCACAGACAGACAGACAGACAGATATCATGGGGTTCTTACTCCATTATCACTTGTATATTGTATAAATATTTATTTTTTTCCTACTCAGTAGGCTATCAATTCAATCATCCTGTATTTCCTTTGGCTATATAAAATCTATTTAACTTGAGATTAATTCCAATTGCTTACGTCTTTATTTTCCTTGCCATAGAGATTTAGTCACCAAAAATAACCTTTATTGTTGGTATCGTGAAATGCATTCCCTAAGTTTTCTTCTACATATTTTACTGTTGCAGGTCTTACATCTATAGCATTACTCCATTTGGGGTTTATTTTTCTGTATAGTGTTAGCAAGTAATCCAATTTCATTCTTTTAGGTATAGCTTTCCAATTTTTCCATCATATTATTATCCTTTTTTACTGAGGTACACTGTTTTGCACTGCTGTTGGTATTTTGAAAATAGAGGCTCCCCCCCTTAGGATGTAGTTACCATAACATTCCAGCCACCAAAGCACCCATACAGAGTCCACTGGTATACCCTCTCTGCTAAGATCACATCCCTCCTCCAACCCTTACCAGTCTGCACACCTCAGTTTTGTAGTTACCTTTCTGGTTCTTTGTTTGGCTTCTCCTAGTCTATTTAAAAAATAATTATATAGGGGCGTCTCTGGTGGTGCAAGGGGTTAAGACACAACGTATAAAGCTAACCGTAGCCACTGCAGCACAAGTTTGATCCCCAGCCAGGGAGCTACCCACATGACACAGCAGACCTCTCCTGACTCGCCTGCTGCTCCCCTCAGCAGTGTATTTCAGTCGATCTGCCTGTTCTGTTCCCCGCTCTGTCTCTGGTGAATTCTCTCACCTCTGACCTGTACCCCAATTCTTGTATGCATAAATAAATAAATCTTTAAAAAAATAATTTTACTTTATATATATATATATATATATATAACATCATTGTTTATTTTTATACAAAATATGCTTGCATGCTTTTTCTCTTTTTAGGTGTATTCCCCATAAAATTCCCACCACCAATTCAGCTGTGAACCATCATCATAGTCTCTTGGGCTCTTCTCTCCCCTGTTTTGAACCCTCCTCCTCCCCCTCCCTTGCAGAAAGTCTCTGATTTATGGTTGTCTGATAATTTTGGTGGGTTTTTTTTTATTTATTATTATTGTTATTCTTTTATTCCTGATCCCTTTTTTGGTTCCCCTATCTTCCTCCTATAAATGAAACCATTTGATAGTTTTGTTTTTCCTTCTGGCTTATTTCACTGAGCATAATCCCTTCCAGCTCCATCCATGTTGCTGCAAATGGCATGAGTTTATCTTTTTGATACTGAATAGTATACCATTGTGTTTATGTATTACATCTTCTTGATCCAGTCATTATCTTTGGGCATTTGGGTTGTTTCCATATCTTACCTATTGTAAATAGTGCTGCAATAAAATAGGGGTGCAGGTATCCTTTTGAATTAATGCTTTTGTGTCCTTTGGGTAGATTCCTAGCAGTGGAATTGCTGGGGCATATGGTAGCTCCATTTATAGTAGTTTGAGGAAACTCCACACAGCTTTCCATAGTGGTTGGACCAGTCTGCATACCCATCAGCAGTTCAAGAGAGTTCTTTTTTCTACACATTCTTGTCAAAATTTGTTATTGCCTGTTTTTTTAAATTTATTTATTTTATACAAGAAACAGGGTACAGACCAGACGCGCGGGAGGGTGAGAGGACTCACCAGAGACAGAGCAGGCAACAGAACAGGTAGACTGACGAAACACACTGCTGAGGGGAGCAGGGGGTTCGACAGGAGAGGTCTGCCGCGCCATGTGGGACCCCCATCAGCCGGCCAGAATCGAACCAGTGCTGCAGAGGCTGCGGACAGCCTCCCAGCGTGGCGCTCAACCACCTGCGCCACCAGGGGAGGCCCTATTGCCTGGTTTTTGAATGTGTACCATTCTCACTGGTGTAAGGTGGTATTTAATTGTGGCTTTGCTTGATATTTCCCCGATTATAAATGATGTTGAAATATTTTTTCATAAACCTGTTGGCCATTTGCATTTTCTCTTTGAAGAAGTATCTTTTTACCTCTTCTGCTATTTTTTTAACTGAATTTACTTTTTGTTGAGTCATGTGAGCTCTTTGTGGATCTTTGTGATCAGTCCCTTATCGGTTTTATTTTGTGCAAAATTTTCTCCCAATCGTTGGGGTGTCTCTTCATTTTGGTTAGTGTCTCTTTTGCTGTACAAAAGCTTTTTAATTTGATGTAGTCCCAGCTGCTTATCTTTTCCTTCACTTTGCTTTAGAGGATGAGTCTTTAGAAATGTTACTGAGATGTATGTCATGTAGTGTTTTATCTATATTTTCTTCTCCATATTTTATGGTTTCAGGTTCTATGTCCAATTCTTTTATCCATTTTGAGTAGGTTTTTGTGCATGGGGAGAGACAGTAGTCTAGCTTCATCCTTTTGCATGTAGTAACCCAGTTTTCCCAGCACCATTTATTGAACAAACTGTCCTAGTTCCATTGCATATTCTTTGCTCCTTTGTCAAAGATTAGTTGTCCATAAATATGTAGGCTTATTTCTGGGTTTTCAATTTGATTCCATTGGCCTGTATGTCTGATTTTGTTCAAGGACCATATGGTTTTAATTATTATGGCTTTGTAGTATAGCTTTTCTTTTTAGGAAGTTTTGATTACTGTTTCAATTTCCCTCCTTATGATTAGTCTGTTCATATTTTCCAGTTCTTCCCTCCTCAGCCTTGGATGATTGTGTTATTCTAAGAATTTGTCCATTTCATCCAGGTTATTGAACCTATTAGCCTATATTCATAGTAGTCTTACTATTCTTTGAAATTCTAACTTCTCTTTCATTTCTGATCCTGTTTATTTGAATTTTCTCCCATATCTTTTTAGAAAGCCTAGCTTAAGATTTATCTATTCATTTTTTTTAGAGACCCATCTTTTGGTTTTATTGAATTTTGGGCCTATCATTTTAATTTCTATTTCATTTAATTCTGCTTTAACTTTATTATTTCCTTTACTCAAGTTTCTCAAGGTAGGCTATAAGGTTATTATCTATTTTAGCTCATCCTTGTTTGTTGATCTGCCTATATTGCAAAATACTTCTCTTTTAATACTTCTTATGATGTGCCCTGAATATTCTGACAGCTTGTGTCCTCATTGTCACTTGTCTCAAGGTATTTTTTTCATTCATCTATGATATCCTCATTTCTTTCAGTAATGTGTTGTTCAATCTCTGCACATTGAAGGTCTTTCCAGCTTTCTGTTTGTAGTTGATTTCCATTTGATACCTCTATAGTCAGAGAAGATGCTTGGTATGATTTCAATCTTCATAAATTTGTGATATTTGCCTGTGACCCTATTGTGATCAATCATGGAGAAAGTCCCATGTGCACTTGAGAAGAACGTGTTTTCAGTTTTGGGGGTGTAGTGCTCTATAATGCATATTATGACCATGTTGTCTAATTTGTTTATTATATCCTTGTTTATCTTTTGTCTAATTGACCTGTACATTCGTGAGAGTGGAGTGTCAAAGTTTCCTACCAAGAATATGTCTATTCCAATGTCTGTTTTTAGAGTTGATAGTAATTTTCTAATATATTTTAGTGCCTCTTCCTTCGGTGAGTGTTATGCCTTCCTAATGTACTAATGTTCCCTTAATGTTCCCTAATGTTCCCTTAATCATTACATAATGTCCACCCCATCTCTCATTACTTTAACTGGAAATTTATTTTGTTTGATAAAAATATTTATGGTTGCCTTTGCCTTCCTTTGAATTCCATTTGGTTATAGGGTTGTTTTCTAACCTATTACCCTGAGTCTATGTTCATCTTTGGAGCTCAGGTACATTTCCTGGAGACAGTAGAATACTGGATTCTGTTTTCTAATGGAACCAGATACTCTGTCTTCTAACTAGTGAGTTCAGTCCATTTACATTTGGAGTTATTATTGATATATCAAAGTCTGTTGCTACCACTTTGTGCTTATTTTTTGTGGTTCACATTCCTTTTCTTTGTTTATATTCCTATCTCGGCTTAGATATACAGTGCTCCTTTAAATATTTCTTGACAGGTGATTATAGTGTTTTCAAACTCTGTCAGATTCCATTTGTCTGAGAAGGCCTTTATTTCTCCCCATTAAGATAATCATTTTGATTATATCCATTATCTCCAATGGTGAGTGTGGAATATCCTTCTATTTTTTTATGCCACCATCTAAGTCTTTTAATATCCTGTAGTTCTCATTGTACAGTTCTTTTCCTTCTCTTATTGGCTGATTCTGCGGTATCCTATTCCTTGAAGCAATAATAAATGGAGCTATTTTCTTAATTCCTTTACTTTGTGGTTCATAAATTTAAAAAAGCTGTATTTTTTGGTATGCTGATTTTGTGACATGCCACATTAATGTTTTCATTTATTGTTTTTAATAGCCTTTGATTGCATCTTTAGGATCTTCTATAAATAGTACATTATCTACAAATAGTGGTAGCTTCACAAATTCTTTTCCAGTTTGAATTCCCTTTATTTTCTGTGTTTGCTGGGTAGCTCTATGTTTACTGAAGCACTGTTTATAATAGGAAAGACTTGGAAACAACCCAAATGCCCAAAAATAGATGACTGAATCAAGAAGATGTGGTACATATACACAATGGAATACTATACTATTCGGCAATCAAAAAGATAAACTAATGCCATTCATAGCAACATGGATGGCACTAGAAGGCATTATGCTTAGTGAAATAAGTCAGAAGGAAAAAGAAAATATCACATTGTTTCACTTATCGGAGGAATATAGACGAACCAAATAAGGGATCAGGGGAGAAAAAATAATAATAATAAAATAAATAAAGAGACAATTATAAATCAGAGACATTCTGAAGGGGAGGGTGAGGGAATGGTTTTAAAACAAGGGCAGGAAGAGCACAACAGTGATGGTGCATGGGTGAATTGGTGGTGGAAATTCTATGGGGACTACACCTGAGAAAACAAAGTAAATACTGTAAGAAAAAAAAAAAAAAAAACAATGATGTAAAATATATATAAATAAATGAATTTATTTTTAAAAATCTCTAACACAAAGTCAAATGGTAGTGATTACAATGGCATTCAGTGTCTTGTGACAGATCTTATGGGGAAAGCTTTTAATTTTTCACCAAGAAGTATTATACTGGCTGTTGGTTTATAATGTATATCCTTTATTATACTGAGGTTGATTCCTTATATTTCCCTCATGGTTTTATCATAAACAGCCAGTGAACCTTATCAAATGTTTTTCTCTCTATCTATTGACATTATCATATGCCTTTTGTCTTTACATGTATTGATAAGATGTATTATATTAGTTGATTTATAAATACTAAGCCATCCTGCATCCCTAGGATAATTCCCACTTGACCATGGTGTATAATGCTTTTTATACACTGCTGAATCAATTTGTTATCAGTTTGCTAGAATTTTCTGTATCAGTGTTTTGGCAGATAATGCCTTATAGTTTTTTTTTTTTTTTTTCTTGTGCTGTCTTTCTCTGGATTTAGTATTAAAGTAATGCTGGTATCATAAAATGTATTAAAGAAAATTCCTCTTCTTGTATTTTTAAAAAAAATTTGAGCAAGATGGGGATTGCTTCTTTTGTAAAGGTTTGATAAAATTCACTTGTATAGTCATGTTTCCTGGGCTTTTGTTTTTTACAGAAGATTTTTTTTATTAATGTTTTAGTTTTCATATTTGTGAAAAGTTTGTTCAGCTCATCTGCTTCTACCTGGCTTAGTCTTGGTAGTTTATGTTGATCTAGAAAAGTATCCATTTGTTCAAGGTTAATGAATTTATTGGCATATAGTTTTTCATAGAATTTTTTGTAATCTTTTGTATTTCCATGCTTAATATAGTGACTTCTCCTCTTCCTTTTGTGATTCTATTAATTTTTTCTCCCTTCTATTTTTTAATAAGCCAGCTAGAGATTTATCTCTTTTGCTTATATTCACAAAGAACCAACTTTTGGTTTCAATGATTTATTTTAGTCTTTTTGACCTATATCATTCATTTCCACTTATTTTTATTATTTTCTTCCTTTCACTAACTTCAGGATTTTTTTTTCACATTGCTTTAGCTTTGATGTTAGGTTGTTTATTTAAGGCTTCTCTTGCTTTTTAATATGGCCTGATTACAATTATCTGCCCCCTTAAAACCACTTTTTGCTTATTCCATAGATTCTGATAACCTGTATCATCCTTTTTTTGGTTCATTTCAAGGTAATTTTTAATTTCTGCTTTGATTTCCTTTTGCTATTAAACAGTTTGTTGTATTCACATTTTTTTGTTCTTTTTAAAGTTAATTCCTAGTTTTATGACATTGTGATCAGAGAAGGTAAGTAAAATTTCAATCTTTGTAGTTTTATTGACAATTGACTTGTTTCCCAAGATATGGTCTACTCTTGAAGATGCTTTGTGTACACTTGAAAAAAAAAAAATGTGTATGCAGCAGTTCTGTGTGATTTATAGATGTCTGTTAAATTTATTTGGCTTAGCTCCTCATGTACAGCTATTGTTTATACTTTGTCTTGGTGATCTGTCCATTGCTGTAAGTGGGATGATCTGTCCATTGCTGCAAGTATTATTCTGTTGTTACAAAAATCTCTCTTAAGTTCTGTTATTGTGCTTATGTATCTTCATGCTCCATTTTTCAGTGAATATATACTGATACTTGTTATTGCTTCTTGGTGTGTTAGATCCTTAATCATAATATATTATCTTTATCTCTTTTTACCTTTCTTAACAGAATATCAGGTGTAAATATAGTTGTTCATTTTTTGTTTTATTTTAATTTCCAGTAGCTTGTATAACTGTCTTCCAAACTTCATTCTAAATTTAGACTTACCTTTGACGGTAACATGAGATTCTTACAAACTGCAAGAATTTGGGTTTTGTTCTAAAACCCATTCAGCCACTCTTTATTTTCTAACAGGTGAATTCAAACAATTTACATATAAGGTGAATATTGAGAAAGTATTTTTTATTTTGGCTTATCTTGTGATTATTAATTTTTTGAGGGCTTTCTATTATGTTTTCTTTATGGTCTGTTCCCATTTTCTTATGTGTTACTTCCATTAATATTGTTGGAGGATTCTACTGAGATTAATATATGATGGGCTATTTATGTGACTCACTGAATGGTCTGGTCTCTGTTTTATGGGCCACATTGTTACTTTCCTCCTCCTCTTCTTTCATGTTAAGCAATTTAAGTGGTCTTTTGCTTATTCATTTTTCTGTTGCTTTGTAATAAATTCCTTTCACTTGTGATTTGGTATTGATAAATTATTTTAGGCTTTGCTTTTCAGTGAAGCTTCCTTAACTCTTTTTCTATTTTAATTATCAATCTTGCTGGGTAGAGGATTTAGGACAGGAAGTCTTTTTCTTTACTGTGCTTATCTTTCTGTTCCCTTTGAGCTTGTACTATTTCTGTTGAAAATTGCACTTATAGTCTGAGTGCCATTCCCTTATATGTTACACTTTTTTCTCTTGATATTTTTAATATTCTGTCCATCTCCTTGGTTATCGAGAGCTTTATTATTACGGGGCTTGGTGTATGTCTATCGGGTGTTACTTTGTTTGGAACTCTTGGGGCGCCCTTAGATCACAACTTCTGATTCTTTTCCCAAAGTGAGGATTTTTCATTGATTATTTCCTTAAATAGGGTTTTGATGCCTTTCTTTTTCTTGTTCTTCTGGGATCCATATATGGATGTTATTCTCTTTAAGTTTTCCCCAAAAGCTGGTACACTGTTTTCATTTTTTTATTCCTTTTTCTTTCCTTTGTTCTATTCTTGTATTCTCCAGTATTCTGTTGTCTAGCTCAGTAACTGTCTGCTATTCAGAACTCAGTCTTATGTTTTAAAATTAGCTATAGTGCTTTTTTAAAAAAGATTTATTTTCATTTATTTATGCATACAAGAACTGTGGTGTAGAGCCAAAGGTACAGGGGCGGTGGAGGTGGGGGGGTGGTGAGAGGCTTCACCAGAGACAGAGTGGGGAGCACAACAGGCAGATCTACTGAAGTGCTCTGCTGAGGGCAGCAGCTGGGGAGACAGGAGAGGTCTGCCAAGCCATGTGGCAAGCTCCCTGGCTGGTGGGGATCGAACAAGTGCTGCAGTGACTGGTGATAGCTTGATAACACTGAGACTTCAACCCGTGAGCCACCAGGGAGACCCTGTAGTGCTGCTTAACTCCATTATTTCTGAATGTAGTTGCCTAATATTTTCACTATCTTTATTCTATTGTTTTGTATCTATTGGTATTTTTTTTTTTTTAACCTTCTATCTGCATTGCCTGGACTGATGCACTGAATTTTTCCATTCAGTCACGTCATTCAATCAGGTCTCCTTTCAGGGATTTTTTTGTTCTGCTATTTGTACTATGTTCTTCTGTCTCCTCACTTGCAATTTTGTATGTGTTTTAGTAATGATATATTTTTAACTGCTGTTTTTGTAGCTCTTGGAGTAATCAAGGGATTGGTACCAGCCAAGGGGTTATAGATTTAAAAGAATACTGGGGCAACAGGCATCAATGGATCTCCTCCACTAGACTAAGGAATTGAAAATCCTGTGAAGCATTTCCTCGTGGGAGGTAACAAGTATTTCAGATGTCTCCGCCTGGGGATGGCAGGTGTTTTGGGCATCTCAGTGTGAACCTCCATAGCAGTCTTTTCTATAAGGAAGTTCAGGTGCTCTGACCAGATTCAGACAACAGCTGTTAGTGCTATGAGTCTCAGATATGAGCCAGTAGGACTGGCTCCATGCCCTTACCTTTCCTGCTATGTACCCTCTGTCCTAGGTGCCGTCTCCTACACCCCTTATACAGTGCAGGGTCTGAGGAGCCTGGATATTGGCATGTGCCCAAGTCAATAGCTGTAGGAGGCTCCTCAC